GTGTGTGTGTGTGTGTGTGGGGGGGGGGGGGGGGGGGGGTGGTTTTAGCTGCAAATTAACAATAGACGTTGGGAAGAGGTGCTGTGGGGTAAGATTGGAACGGATGAAGTGCGAAAACATCAGGGGTGGCAAAGTGCTGATGTCAGAGCGACGTATCATTCAGCTTTCACTGAAAATCGATTCTTTCTGAAAGGCACACTGGTGTTAACAGCTGTGTGCCCGGCTCTCAATTTTGCTTCCATCGCCATTAACATTAGCAGACAGAGCGGTAATTGCTGCACAAAGACAGATATTCACCTTGATCTTCAACTTAGCTGATAAAATCTTTTCTGGACTGGTCTATAAAACTGATGATGTAACGGCAACATTTTGTGGACATAAGCTATGTTCACAGTGCAGGTCAATTGAGATTTTTTTTGTATATATACCGTATTTTTCGGATTATACGTCGCTCCGGATTATAAATCGCACCAGCCAAAAAATGCATAATTAAGAAGGAAAAAAACATATATGTCGCACTGGAGTATAAGTCGCATTTTTGGGGGAAATTTATTTGATAAAATCCAACACCAAAAACATACATGTCATCTTCAAAGGCAATTTAAAATAAAAATAAAAGTAGAGAACAACAGGCTGAATAAGTGTACGATATGCTAACATTACATGACGCTTAAACAACGAACTGTGAATGTGCCTGGTAAGTTCACGTAACATATTAAGAGTTATTTAGACAACTATAGCACAAAGAACATGCTAACAAATTTACCAAACCATCAGTGTCACTCCAAATCACAAAATCCAATGAAATCTTCATCCACGTAGTCACTTTTAAACAACTCCGCCAACTCCGGAGGTAGAAGATGCAGCGCTTCCTCTTCTGCGTCGTTTACGTCAGAGTCATCGTCAGTTGTTTTTCTCAGTTACCACCAACGTGGAAAGTATCAACACAGGCCGAGAATATCCTATTGCGGTTTAATGTGAAAACAACATGTGATGTGTACAATGTGTTAACCATTTCACACATAAATCGCTCCAGAGTATAAGTCGCACCCCTGGCCAAACTATAAAAAAAAACTGCGACTTATACTCCGGAAAACACGGTGTGTGTGTATATATATATAT